CTGGGGGGAGTCCCTGCTGGAGTACGTTGTGCTCAGGCAAATAATCCTTGGGTGCCATTATTAAACCCAGTGCCGTGGAAGGCTGCCAGCTCTGAATACATCCCAGAACACAAGAGGGCTCTGCATCCAAGAGGTAGCCAAGAGGTCCAGGCCGCAGGTCCAGGCTGTGCGACCAGCCCCGCCACCTGGCCACATGACCTGTCCAGCTCTAGATTACACATGTGAGTAGTGGGGACAGCTGGCACGGGAGTGCGTGGCAAAATCTGGTGGGGGGATTTAGGGAAGCCATTGGGATTCTGCAGCAAGGCCACGCCTCTGCAGTGGCAGACGATATTCCATGTGAGACTCTTTTCTGTGCCAGGTTGGCCATAGCACGGAGGGAACACTTGGTCATGGGGAAACAAAGGAAACACACAGCTGTTACTTCTCATGAGGACTGGGCTCCCTTAGACCCACAGTGCCACAGTCGGCAGGCTTGGTGGCAGGCCATCACAGGACAGCAGGGGCTAAGCAATGACAGGGGACAGGCAAGTTGCAAGGGCATGTTGCCTATGACAGTGGGATGGCTGTGCCAGTGTTCCTTCCCTGGTGCATTTCCTAGGACCAGCTGAAGGAGAGAAAATTACTCAAGCTCAGGTATAGCTAGGTAGACTCAATATACAAGTCAAACTGGAATCATAGATCAGGCAGAGGTCACATCGCTTATCATCAGTGGAGTAAAAATTCCTCTTGGTGAATGGAGGAGCAGACAGAGAAATTGGTAATCTACTCCGGGGAAAGAGCAGTGGCCTGTGGGCAGAGGACACGCAGATTTCTGGACAGCTTCTATGGCCCAGATAGCCAGTGAAGAGGCTGGAAGAGAGAGACTACAGATCAGAAACAAGGTTTGGGGAGGCTGTGGGTCGGTGGACAGGGAAGGGCGGAAATGTGGGAGGCATAAGCCGCTGCTTAACGGAAGGTGGCCAACCGGGGTGCAGGTGCCCAGCAACACAGAGAACAGACGACTAGGGACTGAGGACGTCAGCCGCGTTTGCTGTGGGGAACGCGAGAGACGCTGAGCCTGTGGCCCTGGCCAGCCTCAGCATTCCCGGACAGGGAGCGAAGGGTCACGCCTGGACCCGCTGGTTTGTCTTCACATTGCTTCCAGAAGTTTTCTGTTTACCTCTATGATTGCTCACAGCCTGGATCGGGTTTGTGTTTGGTTCTTACAAAACGTAAAAAGTAAAACTGCACTTGAGAAAGTGGTGCTGATGCTAACCAAGCGTGCAAAGGACAGCAGGTGGCACAGCGTCCAGATCACTGGCTTGGCCCGTCTTGCTCACGATTTGATAGCGAAGCTCTGTTTAAAATGTTAACTAACTGATTTCCCTTCCAGGCACTTTTTTATTGCCACATATCTGCCAGGCCACAGGACTCACCGATCCTGGTCTGTCCTTAACTCTGGGGTTTAGGGTTTTGGGTGTGTTTTCTGAGATACCCTCTGAGAGCCACCCGGGTCAGGCTCTAAAGGTCAGGCCATGCTGGGGTAAAGGATGCCGCACTCCAGGCTCCTTTCCTTTAAGTCTTCTTTCTCTCTCGGATTCCTGTGGGCGCCTTCATCACTCGGGCAATGATACTCTAGTGTCTGCAGTGACAAATGTGAAGGTTTTATCTGAAAGAATTTTTCTTTTCCCCTCTTTGTCTTCAGTTTAGTGTTTTACTGTGGAATAATTTTTACTATTTAAGATTACTTTGTGCAACAATGATCATTTTATATTAGATTCGCTAGCAAAATATTTAATTACAAAAATGTCAGAATAAAGGCCCAGTGGCCTAAAATTTGACTGTTAATTCAGGGAAGGAATTTTTCATGTGGCCAAAAATAGGAAACAATCTTGCCTTGTCCTCCTCTAGAACATGGGGACCCTGAAGGCTCCTCCCAGGCTGGATCCCCCTTCCCGGCCCCTCCTCCCCATCATGCACAGAACCAGCACCTCCTTGGCTCAGTGGCACCCAAGGTTCTGGACAAAGCCCTCGATCCTCAGTGTCCCTCCTGATGCTGCGCTCCCCTGATTTTCTTTTTTTTTTCTTTCTGAATGGAAGTGCAGAGAGAAGGCGTGTGTGTGTGTGTGTGTGTGTTTGTGTGTGTGTGTGTGTGTGTGTGTGTGCACAGATGTGGAGCAGATGGGAGCTCAGCAGGTGACCAAAGTCCAAAATGACCTCAGCTCCGCTCTCCACTTTCAGGCTCAGGTGAGCTTCCTCCAGACTCTCGGCTCTTCCTGCCTCCGGCCTCCAGTGGCTGTGTGCGGTGTCTCTGGGACGCGGGACCCTTTCCTGCAGCAGTGTGGTCGCCAAGGAGAGCAGTGCCCACATCAAGCCGCTCTGACTGTCCAGGCCTCACCTCAGCAGAGCCTCACTCCGAGAGTAAAACCCACTATTGTCACAGAGATGGGAGAAGAGCGGTTGGCACTCATGGGAGGGCGAGAGGAGTGAGAGTTGCTTAGGCCCTGACTTTAAGCCTCTGTGTCTTTCTGTTGCCTTCTTCTGTGTCTTTCCCTCCTTACTTTCTAACCAAAAGAAGTGGAAGGCATTCTATCTGAGGTATAACTGGGTTTACTCCTATAAAATACAGTATTTTAAGTTATTTTCCACTCGGAAAAGTTAGCCTATCATGAAGATGTTTCCTGCTTTTCCTTTAGATCAAAACCATCTGAGAAACCATAATCCTTTCATTCAAATGATAACGTACCGCATCTTCAGATCCACATACAACTACAATACATGCGTTTCTAATTCTTGCACTAGTGAGGTTTATGCTCTTGAACTAATAAGCACAATGGACGTGAGTGCCAGGATGGGATATGCTACAGCTGTGGGTCCCGGCCATGTCAGGGTCAGGGGTGGACATGGCCAGGGAGGCAAATCCAAGACAGGGGACTGACAGGCTAGAATGGATGGTCCTGGAGGATGGAGCTCGGCCTGTACCAGATGGACAAGCTGTGGGGAGTGTCCTGAGGCTGAGGCAGTAGGTGGGGTTTAATCAGAGGTTCTGGGTCTTTATTTAAAAAAATGAAAGAAGGTCACAGCACTAAATCTCTTAAAGGTGTGGGCAAATCATCGAGGTGGAGAGGGATAAAAACAGGATTTTCTAGCTGCAGTAGAAAGTAAGTGAGAGAGAGAGAGAGAGAGAGAGAGAGAGAGAGAGAGAGAGAGAGACAGAGAGACAGTGCAGGGGAACTGAACAGAAAGCATTTATTCCGCTGATGGAGGCAGGGAGAGAGAGTGGAAGGGAGGAAGGAAGAAAAAGAAAGGAGGATTCTCTTAATGCTCTAGACTGGGGAAGGAGTGAGAGAGAAGCTGCTGTCAAGGAGATGCACGTTGTCTCCTGGGTTTCTGGTCACGGGCATCCTGAGTGGCTGGAAGCAGGGGCAGATTAGGGTCAGCAGTGGGCCTCAGGCAGGTCCCAGGAGGCTATGTGGAGCATGCACTTGGAGGAGGCGGTCAGCAAACTATCCAGGGCTGCTGTAGAAATCAAGTCAGAGTTGTTAGGATCGGTGAAGTGTGACTGCATAGATGCTCCCGCTAGCTGCTGCAGCTCCTCCCACTGCGAGCCCTACGAGCAGTGAGGCCATCAGCAGGGCGTGGCTTTCCTTTAAATGTGTACAGCAGCAGCGGCTCCCCAGGAAGCATCTGAACTACTCAAAGGCTGTACTCCATTAACCAGGAGAGTTCCTTGGGTTACAGACAGAGCAAAATACTAAATTTTTCGGCTCAGCAAAATTAAACCTGTCTCCTATGCAAGGACTTTTTGTCACGAGGAGCAGAAACATCACCTGAACATTTGGGTCAGTTTGAGTGGCGTAAAATATTACACAGGGAATGGAAAAAAGGTCAGTTTTGCTAATAACCATTGTCTTGGGCTCAGCTATCTTTTTGCAAATGCTCAGGTGCATTTCTGAGTACACGGATGAAAATAATACTCTCTTATTTTTCAAAATGTGAAGTAGAGACTTTTTAAAATCCTGGTGATCAAAAAGACTTCAAAATATTCAGAAGGATTCTATCTGTAAAATTTTTATTGATAACTAGAAGATAGAAGCAGGTATTTCCCCTGCTGAGTCACTTGACTTATTTTATTGCAAGGTCATTATTCAGACCATCAGAAGTGACCGCAGCGGATGTGATCTGGTGGATGTGATCTGGTCCCAGTAGCTCGAGAATCTCTTTGTGCCTCTCTACCACAGTGAACTGTAGCAGGGAAATTCTGGGCCTTTGGGAAACAAGGAAAAGCTCTCTCTCCTCGCTTGGCTTGTTAAAAGTACCCTCGGCCTGCTTTCACTGTAGTCCCCTTCTAAGCCCTGCCTCGGGCTCCCCACTGCTGTCCAGATTGGTCCAGGGCCAGTCAGTCAGCCCAGGCTCCTAACTTATGAACGCACCTCTGCTACCCAGCTCCTCAGCCCTTACCTCTCTTCGCTGCCCTTTATGAAACAGCTGATGGCTCTGCAATGTGAAACCACGTTGCCCAGTCCCTGCAGGCTGTCCCACTTTTTTTCTTTGTTGTCTAATCCAGCTGGTAAAGCTCCCTGACGTTAAAAACTACCATGTTCTTTCGCCTGTCTTAGGTTTCCAGGCTGCGGAAGTCACAGATGACAGAAAGGCACACTGATGACACCATTCATGGTCATGAAGCACAAGGAGCCCGCGAGGTGCCCGGCCAGTTGTCCCCCTGTCTACTCCAGGGCTGTGAAGGGCTACTCCAGGGCTACTCCGCCCTTCACTCTCTTCAGATGGCCAACCCTGTGGCTTCTACCTCATGCGAAGCAGATGACTCCACACCTTTGCCGAGAAACTTACAAACAGCTAAGGGAGCCTCTTTTAACCTCTTCATAGGAAACCTAAAATCTGCCTCCGTCCACACTAACCATCTCCTTTTCTACTTCTTTGCTTGAGTTGCACATTGACAAGTGGAGGTGCAAACATATGCTTACACCTGGGCCGGAAATCTCCACAAGCTCAAGAGGTCACAGTCGATATTTTGAATATTTATTAGTAAGGCTGAGACAACAGCCTTTATACAGCACAATTTATATGTTATCCACATACACCTTGTGTACAATCACAAAACCAAGACATATTTTTACATAGAGTAAAACTCAAGACAGATTTACAAGCAATTTTATACAATTCTCATATATTTTCAGATCAATTTATACAATCTTTAATCCAAGAATTTGCATGTGTTCATTAAATTTTCCAGAGGGATTTGGGGGGGAAAAAAGGAAAAAGAAAAGAAAAAAGAACGCACTAGCAAATCACCAACACGGCATGCAACGTATAGTCAGAAACAAGACATATCTCCGAGTACTGTATTTTTATTTTGAAATCAATTTTATCAGGTTTTCAATTTTTTCAGACAAGGTTTTTTTTCTTTAATACCAGGTGTGCTGTGAGTGTACTAGCACACCATTAATCAGTAGTGGGCGCATTTGAGCACATTACTTAACAAATATAGAGACACAGTCAAATAATAACCATATCCACATGCTGGATACCAAATGAAATGAGTATTTCAACTCTGCCTATTTTACCAAATGTGTCATTATATACAGCGTAACGAGTGAAGAAAACCCTCACGTAATCTACCTACCAGGGAAGGAATTTATTAATGAGTTGGGTCTCACGGGAACCTTTAATCCTAAGACTCTGGGACACACAGAAAACATCAAGGTGTCCCTGCAGTGAAGGTACCCTTTCACTCATCACCAAAGGAAGTAATTATTAAAGAAGCCGCTCATAACTAGTCACCGAGCTCTTTGACTTTCATTTCAAGCTCAAATAGAGGGAAAATCACTTCTGTCACACACAAAGTTATAAACACTTAGAGCTGTAGTTGGCTGATTTGGGAATATTCAACATTATAGCAATGAAAATAAGTTTTTAAAAATATTGTTAGTTATGATTTAAATAATAAAGTAAAAAAATACTATCAACATCTTTATGATATCTTAATGAAATGAAGCATCAATCAAATAATTTCTAATAAACTGGGCACAATATAGTAATATATAATTTCTTTTACTTCACGTCACTGACCACCGTTGGTGTCACTATAGCTACCACCACAATCGTCCTAACCGTTCCTATAATAAAAGTCTTTATCAGCTGGTTACCAGCTATAAGATTCCCACAAGATGACTATTTTAATGTGTGCGATCCACAAAGTAAATCTCACCAGTATGCTGAAAATATGCATTAATTAGTACGATTTATTAACATATGGACAATATTAAGAAGCAAAGATAAGTGCCACCCCCCATCTCAGATATGGTTGTTTTAAACTGCAACAGCAAATAATTTAGTGTTCTGGTAATTTCCTGAATATTAAGTAAACACAGGGAAAACACTCGTGTCTTGATATTGCGGTTACGTGTGTCTGGAATGATGAGTTTGTTAGTCCCTTTTTTTTGTAAAAGTTCACTGTGCTTTTCTTCTACAGCTGAGTTTCTTTACAACCAAATTTTAAACCTGCAAGAAGCTCCACTCTTTGATGATGCAATGAATCTGTGAGAAAACCGAGCCGCTTTAAGCTACTGTAATTGGATTAATCACATAATAATTAGAGATTACAAACTGTCACCATTAAGATAAAAAAAGGTAACTCTATTAAAACGAAATGAAATAAAAAGTGGAAAACCATGTGCCGTACAAAAAAGTAAAAAATACCAAGAGCCCTGTCTGCAATTAGAAAAGAAACCGCTTTGTCCTAAGGAGGATAATCGATGGCATGCAGGGAAATGCTTTCAGTAAGGACCGGGATTGCATAGAAGGGTTCCAGAACAGCCCGGGAGCTTGGCCGGTGCTGCGGGCGCACTGGCGGGCCTTACACTCCGGCGGGCTGCTTGTGGCCGCTGTATGGGCCCCGTGGAGCAGAGGCGCCCATAGGAGCCAGGCTCCTCCTCCTCCGCGTCCCTGTCCCTAGCTACCAAGGGGCGGTCTGGCTGCCGTCCCTCCACTGGGTTACTCTCAGGGCCGGGCCTGCAGCCTCTCCCCCAGGAGCAGGACTCAGGGGTCCCCAGCCCAGCAGCTCCTGCAGAGGGAGGTCTTGCAAACCCTCTCCCTTTCCCGCTGTGACTGGTGATTTTAGGCTTCCTCAAGTGCTAGCTTTTGCTGGAAATATCCATGGCAACCATCAGCAGCTCTAGTAATCTCTAAAAATAAAATTCTAGCAATACCTTATGCCCGATGCTTTTCCTCTCCTGCCCAGTGGTACTGCAGGCCCACGACCTCGGTTCCCAGGCCTGCGAGCCCTGGTTCCCATAGTGGGTTCCGTGGCCAGACTGGAGTGCAGGAGGCGAAGTTTTACTTCTTTAATGAACAGGAGAGTGGGGTCTTTTAGAAATTCTTTCATTTTAGAGTCTTACGCCTCTCTCAAATTTGAAGTATTTTTTCTCCAAAATTGAGAAAATGCAACTTAAGACCAATACTTTGAGTTGGCGCTTCTTAATCCCACTAAAACCTCACTTTAAGTGAAGGTGCAGCTTTTAAATTCAAAATGCTGGGAAGCAAGTGAGCTTATTTTGGGTAGAAAATGGGCACAGGATAAGATCAGTGTAATTCATTTCACTGAGTGTAACAGAATTTGCACATCTTTTTCATTTAATTCATCTTTTTTTCAGGATAAATCAAAGCTCACATTTTAAATTAAAACAATGCAGCTTTTTTCTTCCTTACTGGTTTTGTCCACACCAATACTTGCCATTGGTTTGCAGGATGATATTACATATAAAACTGAGAATTAAAAAGCCTCATAATAATTATGCCTCCTTCTGTGTATAAAACTGTATCTGGAAATGTGCTTTCATATTTCATAGGTCCCTTGATTTAATCATTCCAACAACCCAGGAGGAAGGACAGGAATATAACTTTTATCCTGTGGATAAGCAAACTGGAGGAACGTGCCTCCAAGTGACTTTTGCAACGTTAGGAGCAGAATCAGTACCTGAGCCAGGATTCTACCCCCACCAGGTGTGGTTCCCACAACTCCCTTGCTTCTCCTGCTACTGTTGGTTGGTGGAGCAGAAAATTCTGCTTAGTCACTTAGACGCTGGCTGTTCACTGTGTGTAAATAAAAGAGCTCAAGGTCTGTTTTAGTCTCAGACGTTGGCACTATGTTTCCCGATATATATGGACGTGATCACTGTGATGCTGTCACTTAGGGAGGGACCAGAGTGCCAGAGAAACTGGAGTCTGGAGCCAGAGCTTGCACTGCACAATCAGTTAATGAGTTCAGGGGAAAACATCACAGAAGAGCAGAAAATGACGCCAATTTAATTAATTGGTGTCACGGGGTTAGCATGATTTGCTTGCCAGAGAAAGGATTTCTCCTGACAATACATTACTCAAGGGAAAAGAACAATGCAGGATACACATTGAACTGCAGTCCCACAAAGAACAGGTGATTGCGCTGCCGAGAACATACCAATCTAATCGGGGCTTTGGTACGTAGAAGGGAAATGCCTTAGCTTAACGGAAAGCTATGGAGACTTGGACATTTTCAACCAGATTTCTATAACGATATGAGTCAACAGTCTTTACTCGCCAGATGTGGTTTTATTTCTAGATAAGTAATTTCATTAGTATCTTCACTCTACACTACTGACAACTATACTGAGACAATGTGCTTTCCCACGTGGACTCCCAGCTGGCCTGTGTACCGTGGAGTAAACCTGGCAGGATGTCAGCTCTGAGCTGGATGCGCACGGCCTCCTCGGCCATGAAACCGCTGTCCTCCTCCAGGTCCGGCACGTACCACGGGCGCATCTGTGTCAGATCTCAAAAAGCAACTTGTCTGAGAACAGGAGATGAAGAATTGTTCAGTTTGCGAGAACTGAGCCCTGGAACATCAGTTCTTTCATCCACGCCTTCTTTGCACGAAAGTTACTTGCGTGTTATATTCGAGGCCGTGTTCACTCCTGCACCTCAGATCTGCTCCAGGAGTCGCCTTTGCTGTAAGAAATCAAAACTCCCCTCCCGCCTTCTCTTCACCTTAGAGAAGATCCAAGGTCTCAGGGCTCTGCTGTGCTGCTCTGTCTTCAATCCCTGAGCTGTGTTCCTTTGTGTCCCCCTCTGCTGCCCAGGACAGGGAGTCCACAGGTGTAGACCCCTGCCCCTCTCCTACCTTCCCAGGATCGCTCAGCAGTGTCCAGCGAGGCTCTGTTGCGGGGCTCCTCCATGCCCCTCCCTGAGGACACGCGGTGATCCTTAGTGCGTGGCAGTGGGACTGACCAAGAGTTTATGCCAGTTGACAGTTCTTTTCCTGAGATCCACTTTGTCCAGCCAGATACAGGCTTCACCAATCAAGGTCTTTTTCATAAATTTCCCTCCATTGGAGAAAAGCAAAATCTAGGAAAAGAGAACCCGCATTGTATATAAATAAATATTTTTATCTGAACACACATACATATATATATTTTTTTCAATGTTTAACAGATACTGAGTTATCAAAGAAACAGCACAGACAAGAGGGGACTGAGTGAAAAATGGCAGGGATGGGCTGGTTTTGTTTTTTTTTTTTTTTTTTTTTTATATTTTGCAAAAGAACTAATAACAAGATGTCCTCAAGATTTCCATGATATAAATTAATTCATGTCAACATTTTAAAATTATTCCCCAAAGGAAAAGACACACCCTGAGGGATATGAGAACCCTAGATAACAAGTATTTAATCTGCTAATTCTAATTAGATGTATGTGTATGCTGAAAATAATGGAAAGTTTCACAAAAAAACTTTGCCAGACACAAGTTACTAGTTTATTAAATATTGAATCAAATAGAAAAATTATTTAAGTTCTGAGTAAATAAATAGGACTTCATTTCTATTTAGTATTAGCTGATTTTAACTATAGTATGCACTTACAACAGGATTCCTTAAGTCATTTATAGAAATAACATTATTCTACTGATCTGAGACCACCGAGATTTTTTTTAAGTAAGTAGCTAGAAGAATTGTAGAGCACGTTGGGTCAATCTATTACTCTTTGGTACTTTCCTGTGTTTTTCCCCCTTTTCTCTAACTTCAGAATCTCATGCAGGTAATTCAATTTTTTCGCATCTCTAAATCTTTATTTTTTTCCAACATTAAAAATATGTTTCTGGCTATGATGTCTTTTCTGGTTTTGGGCTTTAATAATCCAAGTGGCCCTGGAGTGTCACTTGAATCACTGTCTTATCAAATGGACTTCAGACTGCTCCTCCTGCCTAGCTTCCCCTCAGTACCGTGTGTCTCTGACACACTTGGCACACCGACTTCGGAGTTTCTCCTTTAGCTTGGATTCCACTCTAGCGGACCCCAGTTAGTCACCTCAAGGGTCTCTGCTCTGTAATGCAACTGTAGTACTTGTTGTTAGTGCAAGGCTTTATGTGCCAGGCCACAGGGTTTCCTCCTGTCTGCTCCTCTCTCCTCATCCACCTGCATTTCTCCTGTCACCTTCACACTGCTTCTCCTGAGGGCACAATGTGAGCAGATCTCAGAGCACTGACAGCGAGACTCGCCTTACAGGAGGTGACAGTGTGGAAGCCCAGGCCCCTAGGTAGATAAATTGCTGTGCAAAACAGACCAGGGCTTGTAGCCTGGCAGGGTAAGGCGTGGATCTGTGAACTGGTGTGGCGAATTGTACCAAAGCTCCCAGGAATCACCAGGTCCGTTTGGGGAGAGGGGGAGCGGGGCGATGGGTGGAGAGGAGCAGGAGGGCGGTCTGATGGGGAAGAAATGGCCATGTCCAAGGGCAGAGGTCCGACCCCATGCAGAGTGGGCCTGTGCAGCGCGCAGATCCGGTGAATGGAAGGGTATATAAGCCGAGACGAATCCATTCAATTCAAACCCACTTTGCAGACTCTGGATGATTTCAGGCCGTCTCAGGTCACTGAGGAACCCAGTCTGGCAGCAGCACGACAGAATGAATGCAAGGGTCCCACAGCAATGAGCAGGTGACCAGGAGACCACGGACATGGGGGAATAATAAAGATGGGGCCAGCCAGGGCAAGGGACAGTGAGTTCAGTGGGGCACAGCACTGGCCACAGACTGGCCAGCAGTGCAGACGAGGCTGCTGGGTGGGGTGACCCAGGCAGCCGAGGGCCCTGTGTGCATGCACCTCGGAGAGTGGAGCTTTTCTCCGCTGCCACAGGTGTGTGGTTAGCGCATACCCGCCCAGTGACTGAGTAGCACACAGCAAACGCAACAGAAGTGAAAAGTGAAAGGCGGTAAGGTGCGCGACCAGGTACCTGAAGAGAATGCCCTGCAGGGCTGAGGCTGAACCTAAAGGTCTCGTTAAAGGAAGGCTCTCGGTCGTGTCTGCACACCCGCGTCTTTTTCTTGATCACCTTCTTTTGGGTAGAGATGTTCATCACATATATCTTCACATACAAATCTGAAAATAACGTTGCAGCCCATTAAGGTCCATCAGCTTTTAACTTGTATTGCATGCTGGGAGCTCCTCCTCTGGTTTGTAGGGACACATTCCATACACAGTTTGTTTCAGACAACATAAATGATTAAACATACCACCTTTCTTAGCAATTTCACTTTCTTTCTTGCTGTTTAACAAATACGTTGCTAATTAATGTGCTGAAAATCTAGCTAAAACTAAGAAAAATGAGTTTATATTTTAGAAATTAACTTCATCTATTTCTGATGTATTTGCTACACAAACTAAATGTTAATTTATGTTTCACATACTACTTAAGATACCTCCTAGTGAATTCCTACATAGTTTATATATATTTATTTTTAACATAAAGTTAGGTACCTGGTAAATGGTCAGGAGACTTGAACTTGTAGGTGATGTTTCTGCACTGGAGAATTTCCACTATTAGCTGTTCACCATCTGTCTTCATCTCCTTTTTCAGTGCAATCTTGATTTCTCCCATTACTTGAGTTTTAACTGAAAGAATTTGATAAAAAGTTGAGGAATTTGTAATTTTGTTTACTAAATGTTTACTTCAATAATGCATATATGCTTCCATTTACTGAACGTTTGTCAAGCGGTAAGCCCCTAACTGCATCCTGTGGATACACAGAGAAGCCAAACACAGCCTGGGGTTTAGGCAATAAGTGCCTCCTGGGGGAGAGGATGAATTTCATAGATAAGCGAAGTCTATTCCATAATATGACAGGCTGTTAACACAGGATGAGGAGAAAGTACATGTGGATGTGTCGCTCAACTGTAGAATTTTAGCCAAAAGAAGTAATAGATGAGACCCTAGGAAGGACACAGAAAAATAATAAAATTCTGGCATAATTCATGGGAAATAATAGTATCACGTGAAACCCAGAAAGTTGTTTTCCCACAGTTGCTGGTCAGCAGGCTTCTCCAGGACACCCACCAACACAGCAGACACCAGGGTGTATTAATGTTCACCCTTTCCATTTTCCTTTGTAAAAGAAATAACCAGCAAGAATGCTCAGGGAAACAGCACAAGGAAGACAGTACGATGAGCCCCGAGGAGTGGATTCCGAGCATCATTCCCTTGCCGTGATTCACCTCGAGTTTTCTGGGGCCGAGGAAGGTTCTGACTCGGGGTCAAGCCCGTCCTAATCCCTACCCCTCTCTCTGCACCTATCCATCCAAGGGCTCTTTGCCAACCCCCTGTGCCGAGCTCCCTGTTTCAGAGAATGATCACAGTGGTGGCCAAAACAGCAGGCTCCTTGGGGTCACTGTTCACCCTCTACTGGGAAGAAGTAGATTTCTGTGCTTAATGCCTGATCAGAATGAGAGAACAGTTCTGAAGTACGAGAGCATTGTTTCCAGAGACCATAACCGAGTAGCTTGGCCTGGAAAGTGCTGTGTGACTGGAACCCAGGAGGATGGGGAAGACTTGAGGGCCAGAGGTCAGAGGGCTCTTCTGGGAGAAGAGAGTGCTCCTCACATGCGGGGTGCATCTGGGAGCTCGAGGCCCGTGGGCTCTTATAGCCGCGCTCACCGAGACCATGCTAACAATGTGGCTTTCACTTTCAGAACACAGGACTTCACTGGGACAGTCTCTAAACACAGTTGTTGGTAATTCTTAAACATTTTGGTCTTGGGAGTTCTTTGTACTCTTAAAAACAAAGGAAGAGCTTCTGAGAACTTGTATGTGGATTATAGCTATCAACATTGGAAATTTAAATTTCCTAATTTTTAATTGAAATGTGAAATTGGAGTCAAAAATGTTTACCTCAGTTATTAAAATACTATGCAATACATGTCTAATGAAAATAAGTGTACCATTTAAACAAGCCTGGGAAGTGCAGAAGTTTTCCAAGCGCTTGGCTTAGCGGAGGACAAACAGATTCTCACACTTGCTTCCACATAAAAACCACAGTAATATGTTATTTTAATGGAACTGCAAAAAATTCATCTCACACCGGCAGACAGTTGGAAAAGAGCGGAGCCCCTGCCATCCCTTCCTGACCGCTGTGGACACTCTGTGATACTATTCCAAAGTGTATTTTAGAAGTCTTTTAGAAGTTTGGGGTAATGAGGAATCTCAAACCATAGCAATGAGCTTTGTTATTATTCTAAAAACTCATGAGTCCACCCTGCACTCTGAGCGGATCTTTTAACTCTGCCTGAGTTGACAGTAAATATATTCTTACATAAATACTTTATGTGTTGAAAACATATAAAAGGTAGGAAGAAACAATCTGGTCCATCCCATAGACATTAAACAATTATTTTTTCATACTTTCTGATATGTTGGCATGGAATAAGTTTTACTTACCATTTTAGATTAGATCTGTCATTTAACCTAGCTCTATGGTGTCTATAAGAAACTAAACCAAACCATCCAGTGAAAAATAGAGACATTGGTACACGTGTCAACATGTGGGAACGAGGGACACACAGCAGCTGAAACCTTATTAGCAGGTAAAGTGCCGGTCAGGCAAAATGCAGCAAACATGACAAAGAAAACCTCTGTGCAAAGCAAAAAACAAATCCATAAGTCATAATAAAGGGAAAGCAATTGTGAGGACCTGTGCAGCGCTGATGCAGGCTAAAGCTCATCAGGAGGAGGCGGACATGTAAGGAAGAAGGAAAGCTTGGTAACCGAAGAGTTTCCTGCAGCGTTAGTGACACGAGCCAGGCCACGTGGACTAAAGTAAATGGACCCTTGTGACCCCGTGATCGATGACATAGGTCTCCTGGGTATATACCACACCCACACTCTGGTAGTGGAGAATGCCTCTCTTTCCTCAATCAGTATGGAATAGTCACAGATACGATCACATTATAACACGAGGAAAACATCAATAAGTCCTGTAACGGTTAACTGACCACATACACAAGAACAACTCTTGGGTGAATAATAACACTATGAGAAAATACAGAAAAGTTCTGAAAAATAGTGACTAAAGTCCTATACTTCAGAATTTAGGAGATTCAAAGTGATGATGACCAGAGGAAAATACCTGGAACTCTATCATTCAGAATGAATAAAACGTGTATATACCAGTGCTGCTGACACTGAAAAGATTTTTAAAAATGATTTAAACCCCAACTCCAAGTCTGGCCAAAAAGTAACAAAGGTATGAAAGAATGTACAAGACAATGATGAAAGTAACACAGAATCTTTTAAAAGAACATAAATTAATAAATAAATAATAATATAATAAATAATAAATAAATTAATTAATAAATAAAAATTCTGAAACTTTGAAAAACATCAACAAATTAGAAAAACCCCTAGTGCATTTAATCAAAGACTTGTGGCCTCTTAACTAGTATGACGGAACATCTTGGTCAGGGATTCAGTGCAGGTGAATAAACTCCAGCACTGTACTCCAATCCTAGCTGACTCATACAGATTTGCCTGTTCTTGGCAGACAGTAACCTACAAATCTCAAATATGTTTATTTAGACTTGTGAGACCCCAGGCCAGTCTCTTCACCATTTTAAATAAGAGTTGCCATGTTCATTGCAATCTACACCCTCCCTTTTACAGGTCCTCACAGGAAAATAGTCTCTACAATAAACAATGAGAAATGGGACATACCTTAGGTCCCCCCCTCTTCAACCTCTAGAGACATTAGGAGGAACAAAAGTAAACTAAAAGGCCAGAAAATGCTACCCGACAGCAACCCAGAGGAGGAACAGTTTCCTGCTAGGAGCTGGAAGAACTTGTGTCAAGGAACCGGGAGACAAGACTCCAGCGAGCCACAGCTTCCTGGCTTTCTAGACTGCACAGGGAAGTACGCCAGGAAAAGCAGGCACGTTGACAACCCTTGAGCATCGCTGCGACCTCCTGTCACTGACAAAGGAGCAAGGCCAAAAGAGCAGGGCCAAACCTAGGAGAAGCCAAGCTGAACTTGGAGCCAGGAAGCTCCACTCCACCAGGGAAACTCGCAGATCTCAGGAAACTCAGGAAGAAACAGCCAGGGCTTCCCCCCCTCGCACTCCAAGACGAAGCCGAAGTAAGGGAAGCGTGGCCCGTCTGAGATACGCTGGTGCTTTCTGGAGCAACCTGGACAAGAACATTTGACCAAGTCTCCAGGAAGACCAAGCCTCGTCAGCTAAGCTGGCAAATCTGCAGCAGCTGTCTGTCTTTCCTTCGCAGTCCGGGAAAGTAGGCTGAGTTCTGTGCTCATCTCTCCAGCCGCCTTCTCTGGGATGGAGGGAGAGGGCTCCTCACTGACAGGGGGCAGGCAGGGAACAGCCATTCACAGTATTGGGAGCTGGGGGAAGTGGTGGACACTGCTGACCATATCGGTGAGCATGACAACACTGTTTTCCGGGAGAAATCCACTTTTATAGTCCTTTCTTCCTTTATAGGCCCAGCGCATCAATACACCAGCTATGAGAGACTTGTTATTTCCAGTCTTCTCACTGGGGACAGAGGTGGGACAAAACCTGCTAATTAAATTTCTCAGGTCATCACACCATTCCTTCCTGGAAGCTGATGTTTGTGTGCCTCACACAGTGACACTTGAGAAGGTGTTTTTGTAACCTTCTCTGTGTTCAAAGACTTTTGCAGGCCGCTCTTTAATATTTCCACTAAGGATAGAAAAGGACACGCTCACTGATGTCATCTCACGGCAGTTGCTTGTGCTGATGAGGGCTACGGGATCAGTCCTATCTGCCCTTTGGTAGATTCCGATGGTTTTGTCCCGGATGGAGGAGAAGAGCTCCGTGTTTTCTCTCTCTCTCCACGGAGTGGGCAGCAACTCAAGGTCTGCTTGACACTTTGAACTAAGGAAAGTCGCCTCTCCATGCAGGGTGTGGCCATGTTTAGGAATAAAGAGGAAACAGCTCAGGAAAAGTGACCCATCTCTAGGTCTCCTGGTGTCTTGAAACCTGTGCTTCTTTGGTTGTATTTAAAGAATTAAATCTAGAGTGAAGATCTAGATTTTCATCACAAAAGATGATGATTGTTTAAGGAGGTAGACCTGTTAAAAACTGCACAACATATGCACCCGTATGGAGGTAGGACCCGGTACTCCGCAACATGCAGTTTTTATATGTCAACTTCTCCAGAAGGATAAAAATCTTACTGCAGAGAAGGCATCACCTTGTAATGTGGCACAAACCTAGAACTAACTGGGCCATAGAAAGAAGGGGGGGGGGGAAGAGATGGAGGGAGAAGGATGCCACACTGAGATGACAGCAGAGCCGACGGGGTGATTGAAACCGACGGGGATTACACACTAAAGCGCACAGGGAAGCTCATTTTACAAGCATGAGTGAATTAGAGACTTCAGGGAACAAAATTAGGTAAAAGGAATGCCTGTTATCAATAGAAAGGAAAGAGAAGATTAAGGAAGAGTAAGGAGTTAGAGCTCACTGACAGATATGCAGAAAACAAAAATCGGATCCAATATAACCAAAAACAATTCAAAAATAGAAAGAGACATCAATTTCATAGATCTAAAAATCTTTCTAAAAGAACCAGTAAAGCAAATCTATAG